CCTCGGAAACGTAAAATGATTGGCTAGAATCTAAAGTGTATCACAGCTCAGGAAAAAAAGCACCGAAATAAAGCACCGAAATGTGCGCTGCTTTTCGGTCTGGTTACTACCGTTTATGTCAGAACCGGTGCCATCATGGCACCGGACACCGGTACCCATCCCTACTTTTAACACTAACGAGTCACATGACACCAGGGAGGGAAATGGCAGTTTAGGCATGAATGGCTGTGCATTGAATTATTTAGAGGGGACAGTAACAAGCTGTACATTGACTACTTTGCATTATAGTTTTTATTTTCAGCTTTTGCTGACAGAGCGGGCGAAAGTATGTCAATATCTGAGTATCCATCCATCCATCCATCCATCCATCATCTGCTTATCCTTTTCAGGGTTGTGGGGGTCTGGAGCCTATCCCAGCTGTCTTAGGGTGAGAGGCTGGGTACACCCTGGACAGGTTGCCAGTTGGCTCTCATCCCTGTTAAACTTAACAGCTTTACCTTTAGCTAGAAGACACAATGTGTGACAAACTTCACATTGCAAACACTGAGGCTGTTGTAATTTGGTGCATTATAAGTAAAACTGAACCGACTCACTGCCAGCAGAGCAAGCCGAGCTCTCACTGTAGCAGGACAGGGATTGAAGTGCCTGTCGCTTCAGGGCAAATACTCCACGCTCCCATGTGCATGTGCATAGTTGTGAAGGGATTTCAAGGCTGTATAAGCAAACCCGATGAATACGTTATAGACACATAAAATAAACTGTTTTATTGCATATTATTTTAAGCAAAAGTGAACTTCAGAAACCAAGAACTAGGAAATCTAAGTAATAATGAGCACGAACTAAAATCATCTGTGAAATCCAAAAGACAGAACCATGAGTCCACACCACCAAAATTAAAACTCAAAATGTTTATTCGAACACCAACGGCAGAGACGTCGTGTTTATTCTCAACCAACAACAAATATGTTAAATACCTGCTGAGAATATTCTCCTCCTTTAGCAGGGATCAGGGATGACGTCAGAGGACCTGTTAAGTACTCTGGAGGATTTGGGAGATGAAGAGTTTAACAAATTCAAGTGGCTCCTACATCAAGCTGACGTCCTTCAAAGCTTCCCAACCATCAAAAAGAGTCGATTGGAGACAACAAACAGGTGGGACACTGTCGACCTGATGGTGCAAACCTACAGGCTTCCTGGAGCTGTGGAGGTGGCTAAGAAGATTTTAGAGAGGATAAGCAGGAATGACCTGCTGCAGAGTCTGTGTGCCAGCAGCTCAGGACGAGAAGGTAAGTTACAAGAAAACCAAACATGGCGTCACTGCAGTCTGAAAACGTTTCACAGAGTGCAGGTTAAATCAGTCTAACACTCAAAATCACTGCCTGTCAGCGGACGTCAGCAACTGTGGGGAGACTTCACAGAAGAGAGGATTTCCTCAGACTGAAGGCAAGTAGCCATGATTTTATTTTATTTTACTGGTTTGTAGAGTTTGTCATTATGACGAATAACAAAATAGACTAACATACATTAATCATTTTTCATAAGAAGCTTGTTTTCTTATCTTGGTCTCATAGAATTAGTATTTATTGTGTACTCTTTAGCTTCTGTCATAAATCACCCCTGACATCTGTCTCCGCCCACTCCACCCTGCCTGGACTGTCCTCTTCACCTCTCTTGTGCACTCTGTTGCTTTGGATGGTTGACCCAAAGTACTTAAACTCATCCACCTTCACTACCTCTGCTCCTTCATGTTGACCTCTGCACCAGTCTCCCCCTCATCCACACATGCCTGTCTTACTTCTACTGATTTTCATCCCCCTGCTCTCCAGATCATACCTCCACCTCTCCACGCTCTACTCCACCTGCAAACAAGGAGCTCAGAGCTGATCCCTGATGTAATCCCACCCCCACCTTGAACCCACCTGTTAATCTTACCACACACCTCACCTCTGTCCTCACATGTCCTGCACCACCTCCACACACTTCTCTGCCCCTCCTGACTTCCTCGTGCAGAACCACAGCTCCTTTCTCAGCAGCCAATCACCTGCTTTCTCTGATCCACAAAGAAAGTGAAGCTCCTTCTGAGCTTCTCTAAACTTTTCCATCAACGCTCTCAGAGCAAACGTCACATCTGTAGAGCTCTTTGTCAGCATGAAGCCACACTGCTGCTCACTGATTATCTCCCCTTCTTAACCAAGCCTCAACAACTCTTTCTCATATCTTCATGGTGTGGCTCATCAGCTTTATCCCTCTGTAGTTACTGCAGCTCTGCACATCACCTTTGTTTGAGGAAATCAGTACCGGCACATTTCTTCTCCACTCTTCAGGCAAGACTGCTTTAAACTCTGTGGCTAACAGGTCCACTGCCCTTTCTTCTACACATTTCCATACCTCCACTTGTCTTCTTTACTAATCCTGCTTACTAACTGCCCTCCATCCATCCTCCTTTCTCTGTCATTTTCTTTATTAACAAATTTGCCAGTGTTCTCCTTCCATATTTCCTGCACAGTCGTATTACTCATAGGTACATTTCCATCCTTAATCACCTTTACCTGCTGCACACGCTTCCCATCCTGGTCTGTCTCTTACCATTGGGTACAACTCCTTTTCTCCATCCTTAGTGTCCAACCTCACATGCAGCTCACCATAAGCCTTTGCCACCTCTCTCTGTCTCAACCCCTTCCTGAACTCTGCAACTCTTTTTTTATTTAACATCCAGCATTTCATCTTTGCTTCTCCTTCACTCACTTTCTCTTCTTGATATCCGTCATCCACCATCCAAACCTCCCCTAACACCACCTTGCAGGATCTCTTTCACATTTAGATGAAATCCACCACTTCATCCAGGTTTCACCAGACTTCCTCTTTCTCCTCTAAACTCCAACCTGTGAGGCATACAAACTGACAATCAACACCGCCCCTTCCATTTCCAGCTTCAAACCCACGATCCTCTCTTTACCTCCACAAAACTATTCACATACTCTTCCTTCAAGATTACACCTATTCCAGTTTTCTTCCTTCTACACCAAAGTAGAACATCTGGAATTTACCTCCAGTGTTATCCTCTCTACTTTTCAGATTAGGCTGTCACAAAGTAGGAGCAAGTTATGTAGGAAAATGGCTTGGCAGCTCTGCCACCATTTTACTTTTGGAAACCACAAGTAAGCCTGTTTCTCAAAGTACTCTAGTGGAATAGTGAAAGGTCTTTGCGATATAATGGGTCCTGATTATTGAAGACTTTTTATGTGCAAGGAAAGATTGAAATAACTTAATTTCTAGATTTGTTTAATGGTAGATATACACCTTACACTTTCCATGTTGCATATTTGACACAGATGTGATGGTTCCAGTACCAGAGCCTCACCCCATCACATCTTACCAACAGATGCTTCAATCAAACTTCCAGGACAAGTTTATGTGCGCACAAGAAGGTTGGGCAGAAGATAAACAGTGTCTGGCAGATATCTACACAGAGCTGTACATCACAGCTGGGTATGATGTACATATCAACACACAGCATGAGGTTTGGCAGATTGAAAAGGCATGGAAGCCAGCAGAGCCAGAGAAACCTATTAGACCCACAGACATGTTCAAACATCCCTCTGGAAAATACAGACCCATCAAAACAGTGATGACCAATGGAATCGCAGGAATTGGAAAAACTTTCCTTGTTCACAAGTTTGTTTTGGACTGGGCTGAACAAAGATCCAATCAAGATGTGCATCTGGTTTTCCCCTTCACCTTCCGTCAGCTGAATCCTCTGAAGGGAGAAAAGTTCAGTTTGGCAGAGCTCATTCATGAATGCATCCCAGAAACTGTAGGCATCCCACAGGAGGCTCTTAATTACATCTTTACAGATGTTCAGTCATCAGGAATCACCAACTATGACAAGAGTAAATTCAAACTTCTGTTTGTGTTTGATGGGCTGGATGAGAGCCGCCTTCATCTCGACCTTCATTCTGAAGCCATTCGCTCTGTCGATGTAACAAAGGCAACTAAAACAGATGTCCTGCTGAGGAAACTCATCAATGGGAAATTGCTACGCTCTGCTCGCATCTGGGTAACCACACGGCCTGCAGCGGCCAATCAGATCCCTCGAGAGTTTATCAGCAGTACAACAGAGGTCAGGGGGTTCACAGACCCACAGAAAGAGGAGTACTTCAGGAAGAGATTCAAAGGTAAGGAGGAGGCTGACAAACTCATCTCCCATATCAAAACAACAGGAAGCCTCCACATCATGTGCCACATCCCAGTCTTCTGCTGGATCACTGCTACAGTTCTGGAGGATGTGTTGAAAACCAGAGAGGGAGGAGAGCTGCCCAAGACTCTGACTGAGATGTACGCAGAGTTCCTGGTGTTTCAGATTGATCGGACAAAAGAAAAGTATGGCCCAGAGAAGAGCATTCAATACATTAAGTCATTAGCAAAACTGGCCTTTGAGCAGCTGGAAAAGGGCAACCTGATCTTCTATGAGAAGGATCTGAGACAGAGCGGCATTGATTTCAGCGAAGCCTCGGTGTGCTCAGGAGTGTTCACAGAGATCTTCAAAGAAGATCGAGGAAGGAAAGGGAAAGACAAGATGTTCAGCTTCGTCCATTTGAGCGTTCAGGAGTTTCTGGCTGCTCTTTATGTGAGGATGTCGCTTAATAACAGTAACATAAATGTGATGCCTTTACCACAGCCCTCAATGCGCAATCTTCAACTGCTTTTAAGTAAAACATCTTCAAAGAAGATCCACAGGATTTCCATTGACAGGGCCTTACAGAGTCCAAACGGACATCTGGACTTGTTCCTTCGCTTCCTCTTGGGTCTTTCACTGCAGACCAATCAGGATAAACTACAGGACCTGCTAATGAAAATAGACAGTAGTTCAGAGACCACTCAGAAAACAGTCCAATACATCAAGAAGAAAATCAGTGAGAATGTGTCTGCAGAGAGGAGCATTAATCTGTTCCACTGTTTGAACGAACTGAAGGACTGTTCTCTAGTGGAGGAGATCCAACAGTATCTGAGTTCTGGACGTCTGTCCACAGATATACTCACTCCAGCTCAGTGGTCAGCTCTGGGCTTCATCTTACTATCATCAGAAGAAGATCTAGATGTGTTTGACCTGAAGAAATACTCTCCTTCAGAGGAAGCTCTTCTCAGGTTACTTCCAGTGGTGAAAGCCTCCAAAAAAGTTCTGTAGGTGCACAGACACAAAAGATTATATTGAAAAATAATTGGAACTCCAAACTCTATGATCCTACAGTAGGTGTAACTACCAAACCATTTTGGGTAGTGTTAGATTTAGCTTACCTCATGCTTAACATGTACAGATGCAGAAACCCAAGGATTTTACCTTTGAGGCACTTGGTGTCCTGTTTTAGGATTTCAGTTTGAATATACCATATTTTTCCACTTATCCAGGGCCGGGATGCAGGGGGCAACAGCCTAAGCAGACAAGCCCAGACCTCCCTCTCCCCAACCACCTCCTCCAGCTTGTCAAGGGGAGCACAAAGGCATTCTCTGGCCAGCCGAGAGATATAATCTCTTCAGCATGTCCTCGGCCTGCCCTGGGGTCTCATGCTGGTGGGAAATGCCTAGAACACCTCACCCAGGAGGCATCCTTGTCAGATCCCTGAACCCTGACCGGTAATTCAAGAGCTTCGCTTTTACTCTTAGCTCTCTCTTCACCACAGTAGACCAATAGAGTGTCTACATCACTGCAGCCACAGCACCAATCCGTCTGTCAATCTGTGGCTCATTCTTTATTAAGACTCAAGATACTTAAATTCCTCTACTTGGGGCAGTAACTTGTCCCTGATCCGTAATGGGCTCTCTACCCTTTTCCTGCTGAGGACCATGGGCTCAAACTTGCAAGCCATAAGCCACCACTTGATGAAGCCAACAGAACCACATTATCAGAGATGAGATTCTGAGGCTGCCCAAGTGGAAGCCTTCTCCCACTTGGCTACGCCTAGAAATTCTGTCCATAAAAGTTACCAACAGAACCGCTGACAAAGGGTACCTGCTGGGAACAAGTGCGACTTACTGCTTACTTACTCCAGGTCCAGAAAACACATGTAGACTGGCTGGGTGAACTCCCATGCACATTCAACTATCCTTGAGAGGGTAAAGAGCTGGTTCAGTGCTCCATGACTGCGATGAGTTGTTTAACTGCCTTAGTGACCTTACTCCTGGTGATGGACGATTTGTCCCCATCGTCCCAAGATTTCATTGACATTTGACAATCTACTTATAATAATAATGGATTGCATTTATATAGCACTTTTCTAGACACTCAAAGCGCTTTACAATTCCAGTATTTATTCACGCACTGGTGGAGGCAAACCACAATTATAGTCACAGCTGCCCTGGGGCAGACTGAAAGAAGCGAGGCTGCCATATCGCGCCATTGGCCCCTCTGGCCAACACCAGTAGGCGGTAGGTGAAGTGTCTCGCCCAAGGACACAACGACCAGGACAGACAGAGATGGGGATTGAACCGGCAACCTTCCTGTTACAAGATGAGCTTCCCAACCCCCTGAACCACAGTCGCCCACTTAGACGAAGTTAGCAGCACTCCACTTGTATTATACACAGATCAGGTAGTGCACCGCTGTCCCCTCCTGAGCCCCCCGATGGCTTGACAGAATTTCGAGGCAATCGAAAAGGCTTTTTCGATGGCTTATAAAATCTCCTCTGAGGTTTTATTTCAGCCAGTGCCAGAGTCATGTTCTCGGTACCTATCCTCTCGGTACCTACTGACTGCCTCCAAATTCCCACAGGCTAATCAAGCCCGATAGGACTCCTTCAGCCGGGGTTCCCTTCACTACCATCCCTTGTCCACCATCAGGTTTGGGGGTCACCACCTTGACAGGCACTAATCACCTTGCAACCGCAGCTCAGTGTAGCAGATTCAGCAATGGAGGTGCTGAACATGGTCCGTTCAGACTCAATGTCCCCAGTCTCCCTCAGAAAGCTACCAAATCTCTGCCAGAAGTGGGAATTGAAGATCTTGTGGACAGGGGCCTCTTCTAGGCATTCCCAGTGCACCCTTACTATATGTTTAGGTGCTTCAGCAGAGCTCAGCACCTCTCTTTACCCAAGGATCCAGAACGTATGGCCATAGACCTGATGATACAATTACAAAATTGATCATTGACCTGTGGCCTATGGTATCCTGGTGCCACGAGTACTTCTGGACACCCTTATGTTTAAACATGGTGTTATTGCGAAACTGTGGTTTACGCAGTCCAATAACACAGCACCATTCGGTCTCACTGTTGTTGCCCATATGAGTGGGGAAATTTCCTAGTGAGATGACAGAGTCCCCAGGTAGAGCACCCTCAAGCACCCCACCCACTCCAAGAAGGCTGGGTACTCAAAACTGTCTTTTGGTGAATAAGTACAGACGAATAACAAATCCTCTCGTCCACTGGGAAAAACTCCAACATACAGGTGCAAGTCGAGGGGATACTGAGATACCCACCCCAGCCTACCGCCTCTCACCAAGGGTAACACCAGACTGAGAGAGAGTCCAGTCCCTCTCCAGGAGACGGGTTCTGGAGCTCAAGCTGTGTTTTGAGGTGAGCCCGACTATATCTTGCCGGTACCTCTCAACCTAGCATAGGCTCCTTTACCATCAGAGGGGTAACGCTAGTCTTGGTAGCCGAGGATCAGTCTGCCAGGATCTCTACGCCTGGCTGCCGCCCAGCACACATTTCACCCAACCCCTCTGGTGCCTCCTGTCGGTGGTGGGCCTACAGGGGGTGGGCCAATGCCCCTGCTTTGGGCTGAGCCCTGCCAGGCTGCAATTCATTTAGGAGTCTATTCGTCAAAGGGTTTGTTTATAGTTTTGTATTGAAATTAAACAATCATGAAATGGTTCAACAAACCAGCATGCAGTCATGCTAAAAATAAAGTACAACAGTTAAATCTAAAGTTTTATATTTTAGAGCATAAATATTGAATATTGATACTTCTAATGAATAGGTGCCCAATACAAGTTTAACACTTGGAATTAACCTTTTATCTGCTGGGAAAAATTAGGGAACAGATATCACTGGGCCACAAAACTTCTTTCCAGTCAATATGGATCTGATTGTATTTGATGTACAGGTCAATTTATCACTAACTCTCCTCCAGGTTGAGTGGCTGTAATCTGTCAAAAAGAAGCTGTGAAGCTCTGTCCTCAGTTGTCAGCTCACCGTCATCTAATCTGAGAGAGTTGGACCTGAGTAACAATGACCTAGAAGATTCAGGAGTTAAACTCCTTTCTGCCGGACTGGCAAGTCTACAGTGTAGACTGGAAATTCTCAGGTCTGTATTAAATGTTGCTTTACATACAGTTAATTCAATTTTATTTCTATAATAAAAACACTTGACCATTCTTTAAACTAAAAGGTAAATACTAGGGCTGCACGATTTTGCATAAAATGAGAATCACGATTTTTT